TATTTAGACAAAATAATACTTCATTATACTTTTCTAAATATTTTAATTAATAATAATTTTTCACTGAATTTTTCTACTCTCTTAATAAAATATTATCGAAATATTAATGAAATTATAATGAAATTTTAATGAAATTGGGTCAAAATTGTGAATGCTTTTCAAACATATTTCAGCAAAAGTTCATTATATTTTCAATGAATTATTTCCATCAGATACAAATATCTCAATTGAGATCTTACATGCGAAATTTTGCGGAAACCTCAACTGAGAATTCAATTGAGAATTTAATTGAGAATTCAATTGGGAATTCAATTGTGATCTCAATAGAAATTTTTCAGTAGGGACAACTCTAAAAGCCTCGAATTGTATCCTATCAAGGATAACACTAACTCTAGGGCTCAAATTAACAAAAGCCTGAGAGCCATATTCAAGAGCGGACCGAATCCAGCCCTTATAAATATTGAGAAGATTAGATGGGTGAGCTCTCCACTTCAGACCTGCAATGGATTTAATAATAGAGATTTTATTACGAATTTTCTTACGAAGTTTTGAACAGTGAACCAACCAATTCAGACCTTTATCAAAATGAACTCCCAAAAATTTAAATGAGTCAACTTTAGAAATGATACCATCATCAAGCCTAATCTTAAGATGCCACTTGTTTATAAAATTATCAGCCTTTTTGAAACTGTCCTTAGAAAAAAGACAAAAAGCTGACTTGGTACATGAAATATCAAGTCCGAGCATAGAAATATTATACTTAAAAATACGCAAAGCATTATTAATCACATTATAAACTATTGTCGATATTAATAGCATGTTCGACTGGTTCTGGGTTAACCCGGGAGCGTCCCGATTGACCACGGTACGATTGGACACAACCGATGAAAAGAATTATCTAGGTCAAACCAATCATTACAATCTGTGTCCAATCGTATCCTGGTCAATCGGGGTCCCACCCGGTTAACCTACTCTGGGTTATTCAGCCTACATTTATTGGTCGAACAAATACTTACAATCTTTGTGATTGGCTAGTAGAGACTTATGACGTCATTAATCACTCTCGGAGCGATTAACCCAGGGTCAGTTGAACACGCTATAAGATTATCTAATAGAAAGTTACTATTTAGTACGCATATCAAGTGCACGATGTAAACTAAATCAGTAAAGGTCTTTGCACGTAGAAAAATTTTAACCGTAACCGTAAGGTCATAAGAAAACTGACCAATCAGAGTTGATTATTCTCCTTGCGTTCGAAGAATAATCGACTATGATTGGTCAGTTTTCTTACGATCTTACGGTTACGGTTAAAATTTTTCTACGTGCAAAGATCTTAACCGTAAGACTTAACGTAAGAATTGACCAATCATGTTGAGAATCGTCGAATCATAAGATCGCCATTTTTATGAATACTCGATCGTAATTGGTCAATTCTTACGTTACATTTTACAGTTACTGTTACGAAAAGTGTGTGTGGCTAGCTTAAAGCTGGTCACACAAGGTTTATTCGCGTCGCATGCCTCAACGTGCTCCTACTCGCTCCAACGCACTCTGATTGGTTTACGTCATCACGCAGACCAATCAGAGTGCGTTGGAGCGAGTAGAAGCACGTTGGGGCATGCTACGCGAACAAACCTACAGTCAACACAAGTATCATTCTATCTTTGTTTCTCACTAAATGTGGGACAAAGATAGAATGATGTTTATGTCGACTTGTGTCTCTTGTTGGATAGCAACCAATATGTGTTAAGCTAGCCACACACACTTTTCGTAACAGTGACCATAAAGCCCGTATCAGACTACCGACTACGACTGCCGACTCGGCGCCTCACTGTGATTGGTCCATTGAGAGTCGGCAGTCGTAGTCGGCAGTCGGGTCGGCCTATGTAGTCGGTAGTCTGATACGGGCTTAAGACGTAACATAAGAATTGACCAATTACGATCGAGTATTCATAAAAATGGCGACCTTACGATTTGACGATTCTTAACATGATTGGTCAATTCTTACGTTACGTCTTACGGTTATTGTTACGGAAAGTCTGTGTGACCAGCTTTAAGCAATTGAAAAGCACCCTCTGTTTACCTGACATTTCAGTTTTGGCATCGACGATATATTATTGAAGATGTTGTTGTTGTTATTGTTTTTATGGTTTTGAAACCAAGTCTATTAACTAAATAACAAAATATATTCAGATAAACCTAATTTCAATGTGTCGGTAGAATTTTATATTCTTCTTCCTAATCTTTTAATAAAGAGAGCAATCTCCCTAAAGGCGGCCACGTTGTCATTGAACGCTACATCGGAGATGTAGATTTCTATTAGACCGACTATTCTAGAACGGCTTAAGCTAATCCGGAGCAAGTCAGATTTCCGACTGTTACGCGGGCAATTAAGAAATAGATCGTTTAAAGTTTCCGTTTTCCCGCACTCATAGTACGGGTTATCGATTCCTTTGTCAAATAAATGTTAAGCAACTTGTGATGTGAAATGTTCGTGAAATGAACGTGAAATGTTCTAATTCTTCCTATAATCATTAAAATATTTCTGTCCAGTTGAGCGAATTCATCGAACCACGGAGACAAAGCCTTAATTCGATGAAAGTAACGGAATCCATGTTGCTCAGAAAAAAATTCATTGGCTTGTTGATTCATACGATTATATAAAACTCTTCTCAAAGAGCTTGAGAATACAACATCTTTATGAGACTCCGAAATATTACATCCTCGTGCAGCTTACTTAGCTATTTCATCCGCAGTCTCGTTTTCAGCAATGCCCAAGTGTCCCGGTATGAACATCCCATATTCGGTATGCCCAAATGAACATCAGAACGTGTCTCGATACTAATTCCATAAACTGATCTTTTATCATATAGATTAAGTTATGCTGTTGGGAGCGTTCCGATTGACCACAGTATGATTGGACATAACCAATCGATGAAAAGAATTATCTAGTGAATTACTAGGTCGAACCAATCATTACAAATTATGTCTAATCGTACCGTAGCCAATCGAAACCCACTCATTCTGTTTAGGGAGCGTCCCAGATGCGCACATTGACAAACGGACACAGCCAACCACAACGCCGTATGATTAGAGATATTCTAGAGACTCTATAAACAACGACATATGATTGGATGTGTCCGTTTGCAATGTGCGCATCTGGGACTCGCTCGCTGTTTACTCCTTGAGTCACTTTTGGCCAGAGCGCTAATGACACTTTTAGAATCCGAAGCAATAATTATTTCCTTTGTTGTGTTGATATCAGATATAGCAGAAAGAGCGTGAGCAATGGTCAAAGCCTCCGCTTCAAATATGGAAAGGTCAGATGATAGTTTATATCGTAGGGAGATGGGAAGGGATGCGGAAAAAATTGCACAACCTACTCCAAGCTCGGATTTAGATCCATCTGTATATATAATATTAAAATTAGATAAATTACTTCTACGAATGAGTATTTTGAAATGCGCCTTCACCAACGGTAGAGTACAAACAGGTGACCCAGCCGCCTTTTTGTTCTCAATGGAATTAACATAACTTATACAATCGCCTCCGACCTCCGTATCAATAGGTAGATGTACGCAAGATACAAGAAAATTAAAATCAATCGATACTGGAAGATTGGTAACGTGCAGTTCGTGTAAGAATTCAATAAACATCTGATCCCATATAGCACACAATATTCTATGAATATTCTTATGGAGTGCAAATATTCTCAATTTCAGAATATTCAAATGAAATGTTCAATAAATATACATAGAATATTACAATTAGAGTCATATTTTCATAATGAAAAAAAACCTGCTAAAAATATTCGAAAGTGTATAGAATACTTGTCGAGAATGTTTGTGGAATATTCTTCGAAAACGATTTTAGAATATTCATCGAGTTTATGTATTGCACATTGTTTATAGTGCAATACATGTCTTAATAACTTCTGAGAAAGGTAGTGAAATCTGTGATTATATATAACCCTAATGAAAATTGAAATTGGAGAGTGAATAAAGTGTAAACGAAGAGTGGCGAAAATGCAAATGAAGCGCTTACAAAACGTAAATTGAAACGTAAAGCAAGTGGGTAGTACACTAACCATTTGCTTTACGTTCCGACGTTTCAATTTACGTTTTGTAAGCGCTTCACTTACACTTTCGTCACTCTTTGTTTACACTTTATTTACTCTCCAATTTCAATTTCACCAGGAAACTGGTACACTACCCAGACAACACACAACATTTATGATAAAGATTCATAAATATTTATGTCGAATAATCTTTTAAAAA